ACCCCTAAACCCCAAAGCCCCTAAAGTCCATAGGCTGGCCTTGGAGGATGTAGGGCGCAGGGCCCTCAGATCTCTGGCGAAAGGCAGCCTGTCAGCTTTGGGAGATCTTCGTGCTTTTGCTTTTGGCTTCGGGCTCTTCGAGGGTTCGTTCTCTGAGGGTTCTATAGGGGCCTTCAGTTTCGGCGTTTCGGATAGAGAAGGCGTAGGCTCTTTCCGGGCTTGAAAGTCTTAGAGTTTAGGCATCATTGTGTAGGGCTTCAGGGCTTCAGGGTTTTCTTCTGTTAGAGTGTGTGGACACGCACCGTCGCACCCACAAGCTCCCCAAAACCACAATCATCCAAGACTTCGCACGGCACTACAGTCACCGATCTCACCCCTCCTCCGGGTTTTCAGGGCTTTCGGGTTCTGGGCTTGGGGCTTAGGTTCCGGCGTAAGAAGTTTAAGGGGGTTGTGGGTTGAAGCTTTAAGATTAGTAGGGCCTAATGCAAATCTCTCTGTAGGGGAGGAGTAGAGGTCAAGGCGATCGCGCAAAGCAGGATCCCATTTCGGAGTCCGCTTCAGTGTATACACACACCTTTTGATGGTACTTGGATAGGCCAGCAGCTTAACAATCTTGGATTTGTGCGCATGGGAGGAGGGGGGTCGGGGCGGACAAAGCCAAGATTCCTAGATGCTTACAACTTCAGGACGTGTTCGAGGCTGCAGTTTCGAATTCGGAAAGCATGGTGCCCAGCCAAAGCCAATGCATCCAAGTGAAAATATCTGCAAACCATGAATGCAGGCATGGACTTCCGAGGCACCGCATCCCAAGATGAATACCCAGCCAAATTCTAAACCCGGCCTAAACCCTAAACCCTACACCCTCGACTCTGCGCTGTCTCCTTCAAATGCCTAGGAGTTACCATGAGCGCCTGCTCTGCTCTTTGCCGACACCTCATCTGATCTGGGCAGTGTTTGCCACCTGAATTTCAGGGCTGCAGGATTTTGGGTTTAGGGTTTAGNNGGGTTTAGGGGTTGGGGCTTTGGGTTGCGGGTTGAGGGCTCAAGGGTGTAGTACCTGGGCGTGCTCGCAGAGAAAGCTCCGGTTCACGGGACTTTAACTGCTCAGCTTCTCGCATGTAGGACAAGATGCCATGGCCACCTTCAAACCTGAGCAGGCAGATGCTGCGAGTCGAAGACTTTGCTGTCACAAGGCAGTTCTGAGGAACAGTTCCGTTTCAACAAACTCATGGAGGAGTCAGAGATTGCTTGGAAACTGAATTGCACACCAGATGCTCAGGCTGAGATCATCATCATCATCGTCGTCGGCATCATCA